AAATAGAGAGGGGGGAGGGAGGGAGGTAGGGGGAAGGGCGAGATCAAATCAGGAGAGAGGGGGAGAGATCAGATCAGGAGAGAGGGGGAGAGAGAAAGGATGGCAGGGTGAGAGTTTTTTTGTGTTTCACGGCGCTCGCAACTGCATAAGGTTATATAAGCGCACGGGATGCATTTAACTTTTTCATTTGGTAGGAAATTTTAAAATTTGCCCTGGTGGCGGCCGAAGCCTACTCTTATCGATTTCAGACTGCCAAGGAATCTTTAACGCGCACAACTTGCACACGGGCCCTCCGAGATTTTTCGCCCTTGTCCGAGAAGGCTAGGTGTAGATCTTTCCTACCAGAAGATCAGGGGTGCGGCTGAAAGACAGCAGTAAGAAGGAATCAAAGAGTAGCAGTAGAAAGGGTGCAGAAAAAGTCAGGAGCCAAGAGGAGCAGGCAAAGGATGTGAGGGGGTGGGGGCAGAAAGAGGAGACGAAAGCAGAGGACAGAACATTGCGAGAGAGTAGGAAAGGAGGTGAATGAAGACAATTTTAGAGAAGAAATTTTTTTCTGTCGCTACCTGGATTCGAACCCGAGACCTTTGAATGAGAGGCCAACACCTTAACCTGTAGGCCACGAGAGCCCCCCCAGGATGAGAGTTTACTTTTATAACCGAAGGAGAGACAAACAAGCACAAAAAACAGAAGTTTTATACCTGGGAGACACTTTGGCGCACACAAACACAACAACAAAATAGTTCTTCTTCCCTTCACAGTTTACTTTTTTTTAACGTCCAGGCAATTTCACGGAACAAAGATTTTCAAGATTAATAACTGCGACTCGTGCAGTGCACATAATTTTCACACATACTTCCCTCTGAGTTTTGTGAACCAGTTGTCTTTATCAAATAAGGCACGGAACGTTATTTTCTTGTACAATTATATATTCGAAGCCAGGTTGTCTCGAGATAATTTATTTTTGGCACAGCGTAGCTCTGACGAGACAGAGAACAGGAAAAAGGCAACCGTTACCCTAGTAAAACTTTGCGGATTCATGAAATGCTAAATAAGGCAGGAGGGAACGTCTTCTCTTTTGTTTCTACCTCCCCTCAGGAGAATTCTGATCCCCCTGTAGGGCCTAAAAGAGAACAGGTTTAAGCGAGTATCGCCAAACTGTCTCGAATTTTGAGTGCAAGCAGCCAGCACTTCAAGGGACTCCTAAACACATCAGTCATTAATGGCTTTATAAAATCTATTAAAAGGAACGGTGGGTGTGTTCTCACACAATAGCCTGGTCAATAATGTCTCGCGCAGAGGGTCTGAAGGCGGGAAATCAGCGCCGAGGGCTCAGCGCGCATGTGCGGGAACACTGAGACAATCATGAGGCTGTAATCGGCGAAAGGCAATAAAACTCAACTGAAAAATCGCATAGCTCACTCCCGAGATTGGAAATCAAAGAAGGACGGGAGACTTTTAGTGACCTTGACCTCTTGTGATCTGCTATGTGGGAGACTTTGATTGGTTAGTGAGATAACTGATGTTGCTTTTCTGTCCCGTGCAAAATTTCTTTGCTGCATCCTCCCCCAAACCATCTTGATGAGCTAGTAAGGAGAAGAGGTCGATATCGACCAAGAAGCATTGTAAACCAAAGTTAAGGTCGGCTATACATGACAACACATACACACACCACCCATCCCTTTCATCTTATCACCCACCACGTCACGGGGAACAAGTTGAACAATAAAATTAACGAAAACAAAGATTATGACAGAAATGATAACAGTTATTAGGAGGATGATAACTATTAGAGCCATGATACGACTAACAAAAGGTAATAAAACAATTTGAAATCGTATTTGTTTCACGCTCCTATCGACAGCGTGTTTCAAGTCTGCCTGTCAGGGCTAACGTGGGCTGAAAGGGAAACAACATCCCAGTAGACAGACAGAGATACTCGATAAGAATTCTCTCACTTGGGAATCGAACTAATGTCTTCTGGATGCGACATCGAAGCGCATTACCTGTACACTACAGAGGCCGATCTTAAACCGATGATCACTGTGGCAATCTTTCATGAATAACAATAACGTGCATTACTAATTGGATTTAAAAAAGGCAATAATGATGAACGAAGAATAGATAGTATCTGATAACGTCAAAGGGAAATAAAACAATGTTGATAAAGGGGCACATTATATGCCGATGCTAAAGAAAAGGAAACAAATAGAAAAAGAATTTTAAAAAACCAACAACAGCAACCGGAAAATACCCCAGCAATAAACAAGTCCAGCAAATTAAACTGTCCTAGTTATCTCATAAATAGACGAATAATATAGACAAACACCATTAAATTCTTTGATAAACTTTAATAAACATCCATTGCTTTCACTAACTTCTATTAGGATTATTTCCTCTCTAGAATTGCACAATACCACGAAGAGCTGTAGTATTTGAAATGATGGATCAGGAAACTTGTAAGAGAGTTCGAAACTCTCATATAATGCTTTTGCTTGATACATTACAAAAATTCTTCTCATATTCAGGTGTCACACAACGAAAAATAGTTATTTTAAAATAATCACCACAAAACTTGAATGATCGTTCGACTTTGCGGGTGACCAATCTTACTCACGATTATTCTTTGGGTAGATCCTTAGGTAAACATTGATTTTGGCTCCCAACATTACATTGGGTTAATACAGTCTTTTGGACATGACCTCGCTGTAATGCTAATCCCCCCCCCCCCCAAAGGGGAGTGAAGACCTCGGGTGTGCGCTCAAGGTCAAGTAGGCTCTAATTTTTTTTTTGGTGGGGGAGGGGGGCTCTCTAGTTTGTTTCGTTCTAGTAAGCGTTTCACGGCACTTGCAATTAGGTCATATAAGTGCCGAAGATTATATGTGTTACGAGAGAGCAACAGGCACAAAAAGAGGAGGGATTGGCCGATAGATGGTTGATAAGAAAGAAGGAGCAAATCACACTGGGGCACCCGCCAAACACCTACCGCTAAAGTTTAATTTTACCAAGCACTACATGGCCTTTTACAAGCCAAAATTGGTCGATTACTCCTATGGTTTAATCTAGCTGCTTTCAGTTGCTTTTGTGCTAACAATCTTAATTGTTTACATGGGGTGAAAACTCACCATGATTATCTCTTTCAATGATCTCGCCAAAACTGAAAACCTCTTTAATGGGGGGATCTGAATCCATGTACTACCTGGGTCACCTAACGAGAGCAACGCGTTTAAAGGAAACATAGTTTGGCAAAAAAACATTGGTTGTGGATAACCTCAAGACGCATGCAAAGTCAGTGCACAACGATCAAGTTTTATGGGCTCACCATAAACACGCGCAAGTCTCAAGGGCTGTGACACGTGTGTGCGTTTTACTCGTGAGGACGTGTGCAAGTTATGAGGTAATTACCCGGTGAGTGCCTTCTTCGGGAGCCATTAGCGGTTTTAACCAGAACGCAACTATGATTCTGGTCAGAGTTTCAAGTTTCTTTTGTGTCAAGTATCGTTAACACATCGGATAAAACGTAGCTTTTACCCAATGGAAGTCAAAGATGATATGATAATAAGTTGTAAAACGTCTGAGATGCGTTCTGACTATTACTTAAAGACTTAAGGACCGTCTATGTATAATTTGTCTTCTTAGCTTTGGACGAATACTGGAATTCCATTTCGACTCACATTTTCGGGACATTGGCAAAGTAACAAACTAGGACAGTGTGGTCGTGCCTATGATGGTGGGAGAGGAACAAAGTGTTGGAAAGGACAAATGATGAATGAATGGGAGAATGAATGAGGGCGTGAATGATAGAGTGGATGAGTGAGTGGAGGAAGAGAGAATTGTTAAATGAAGACAAAAAATATTTGGGCCCCTCGTACATGCTGAAGAAAGAGAAAGAATGTAACAGAAGCAGAGATAAAGAAGACGGGGATAAGAGAGATGGAAGACACGAAAAGAACCGAGAAAATTTGAGGGGTGGGGGTGGGAGAGAGGAAAGGAAAGGAAGGAGAGGACGGGCAATAGAAGATTGCAAACGGGAGAAAAGGAAGACGAGAAAGAAAATGTTTAGCCAGAGGTAAGAAGTCTGGCAAAGGGTAAGAAAAACCGTGGACATATTAACAAGAAAGAACAAACAGCAAAGGGGAATGGTAAGAAGGAAGTGTGCGAGACGTCTCAGTAAATGACCAAATAAATTGTCCAAAGTAAAAACTACATGTAAATTTCACTCTTTCAGTTGTTGGAACTAAAGGAAAACGAAGAGAAACCTTGGCTGATTTCATAAGTGTGTTATGCGATGCCATAAGGGATATCCAACAAAATTGGACAGCGCTCTTAAAGGTCTCTTGTTTCAGCCAGGTTTTAAAGAATGGTAGAAGTTTGTAGGATTAACTTTCAACCTCAGTATGTCATACGTCTATTGAACAGGTCCATGATGAATATCATAGGAATTTTAGAAAAAGACCGGGAAAGGAGATAGAGAGAGAGAGAAAGAGATAGAGAGTGAGAGAGAGAGAGAGGGAGAGAGAGAGAGAGCGTGAGAGAGAGAGAGAGAGAGAGAGAGAGAGAGAGAGAGGGAGGGAAAGAGAGAGAGAGAGAAACAGACAAACAGACAAACAGACAGGCAGACAGACAGACAGACAGACAGACAGACAGAGACCGAGACAGAGAGAAGGAGACGGAGAGGGGTTTTGAAAGGGTGGGGAGGGATGGAGAAAGAGAGTGAGGGAGAAACAGAAGGAGAGCGTAAGTAGAAAGAACGAAAGAGATAGAAAGATAGAGAGAAAGAGAGAAAGAAAGAGAAAAAAGAGAGACAGGGAGAGGGAGAGGGAGAGAGAGAAAGAGAGAGAGAGAGAGAGAGAGAGAGAGAGAGAGAGAGAAAGAGCGAGAGCGAAGGGGGGGGGGGGGACAGAGAGAATCTTAATGAATAATAATTTTCCCTTTCAGCTGTTTTACTATAATAATAATATTATTCAAATGTGATGGCGGGGGAAAAAATTCGACTTTTGAACTTTTACACCAGGTACGGTGGACCTTCGTTTGTCAGTCGAATGTCATAACGATGCGCGCAAAGTCGGATTCCAATGAAAAATACTTTTACGAGTTCATTATGAACTCTTCAAACGTAATAATGTCGTTAGTCACAATTTCTCGTTCACATGCTTTATTTTTTCTTTCAAAATATTTGACTGAGAAATAAATGATCTGAATAAATAAATAAATAAATAAATAACTGAACAACTGAATAAATAAATGAATAAATAAATAAATAAATAAACAAATGCATAGATAAATGAATGAATCACCACTCCGCGGTTAAAAATCGGAGTACTGATCTGAATTACAAAAGACACGAACCTTGAAAAAACAAACAAACAAACAAAAAGCTAAAAAGCCAAAAAGCCACCAACCATTAAGCACATCAATAGTATTGATACAAACAAGTCGTGAGGATACTCAGCAAAGAATTCGGTAAAAATAAAGTATACCCCCCCCTTCCCCCTTTGTTTACGTTGTCAGGACGATCAATCATAGCCTGCTGTTTCCTATTCCTGTTAGACAACAGAAAACCGACATCTATCCTTACCGTGACCCCGGAAGTTGTGAACTAGGTCAAGCAGTTCAAAATGCATTGTATATGTATAAAGGAGGGCTTTACTTGTTTTCTTAAAACCCAATTACACGTTACTTTTACTAAATAAAACTTTACTAGGACGGACTATTTAATGTTGAGTAGACCCACCTGTGTCTCGGTGACCGCCAGCTGACTCGCCATCTCCGCACGTTCGGCAGACGACAAGTATTTCTTCTGCTCAAACTGTTTCTCCAGCTCAAAGATCTGTCGGCCTGTGAATGTCGTCCGGGCCTTCTTCTTTTTGACGTTCATGCCATCTTCCTTACTGTCGTCCTCGGATTTCCTCTTTTTATCACTGCAGTCTGTCTCTGATAATCACCAAGGAAAAAAGAGTCATTGTTAACATGTTTTGATCACTTAATATCACAGTTGCAACATAACAAATCAACTCTACTTTTTAAATAGCCAGTAAAGATCATGCATCATTGCGTTTGCTATTCACACAAGAACAAAACAGCAACCTCAAAGAAGTAAAACTGAAAAATATGCTCTTCCTGTTGCTCATCCTCATCCTCAATGTAAAATAAATACAGTTAGAAAAGAGGGACCTGAAATGTTTTGGTCAGTTAAATGTAAACCATACAAATAAACGAATGTTAGTGCTAAAACGGCCCTGTTTCGCCTGTAAGGCTCCCTTGCGAGCATGAAAACAAATGTGTACTTATAAATCTCTATTCAATAACTCTTTAAAAACGTAGCAGACACTATGCCCGATCAGCAGTATAATAAAGACAATATTGCAGAACATTTAGAAGCCTGATACACAAATCCGAAACACAAAGTTACATAATATTTAAAGTAAACATTTGTTGCCTTTCTTTTAAAGTTTCAGTTTGGCGCTCATATCACCTTATGCAGTTGCAAGCGCCGTAAAACCCTCTCCTATGAAAAAAAAGTTTCAGTTAAAGAAAACATACTTGAAAAATCTGCACCAATAAGGAAATTCTACTTTTTTTCCAAAGAGTCCCCTATCACCTTGACTTCAAGAGTTGATGAATAACCAAAAAGTGCGCATTACTTAAATGAGTAAAAGTTCTACTGACCTGAGGCCGAGGAGCAAGGCGAAGCACAGGCTGGACTGCACGTAGATCGGGAAATTTCCACATCTCTCTGATGCTCCCCTCCACAATGGTCATGCGGGTGGTGGCTGTGGTAGTCACAATGGCGGCGAGAACCAAGAGGCTCTGGTTCCAAACCTTTCACGCCGTTGAAACTGCTGGAAATGTGATGCTGATGATGGTTGTGGCTGTGGCTGTGGCTGTGGTTGTGTTGTTGTTGCTGCTGTTGGTGGTGGCGGTGGTGGTGATGATGGTGGTGGTGGTGTGTGGGTCGGTTGGGTTGGTTTAGGTAGCTCCTGTTATTTTCAGTTGCGGGCGAAGCAGAGCAGGAGGGGTGCAGACATTTTCCATCCAGGCAGACTGAATGAGGTTTGGTGCAGTCAATCACATCTCTCCTGAGAGGGAGAAAAAGTTAAAGTTAAAAGATATGGTAATCACTATGACAATACACGCTTACTTCCTAAAAATCTCTCTGAAGGACTTCAAAATAACTTATTATAGTTCATTGTGTCGATACAGAACACACAGGAAACATTCTAGAGAAAAATAAATAAATAGGATGTCACTTCGATTCGAACCCCAAACTTTAGAGAGGGGAATCAATTTCGTTATGCACTACGACACAGCTGCAGGCTACTAGAGAGTTTATCTCCCATAAAAACAAAACCGACTTCTTCTGATTTTGAAGCACTCACTTACCGACATCTGTGCAGCAACGGGCAAGGCTCTTCGTCTTTAGAGCAGGGAAAGTACGTGAATGAATTCCCACATGGAGGGAAGACAATAAATTATCACTTATGTGGGGTTTTCGTCACTTTG